CTTGAAGTTCTATGCATGTCTATTGCTGTACAAAGTTTTGATCTCTAAATGAAAACCTGAATAGAAGAAAATCATGCATGGAAATTGAATCAAGTTCTTGAGATTTCTTCTAGGTCTCTAAAGCTTTAATAACCCATTCTGCTTGAACTTAGTGGCTTAGCCTTGACTGCCTACTTTTGCATTGTGCCAAAGCAAGTAATTCATTTGAACATCACTTATTATTCCATAAATCTATACCTATAGATAAAATACACTTATCTGAAGCACAACTGAAATTAACAGAATGAAGATAGCACTCTAGCTCTATGTGCATGTATGAATGTATAAATTCTGCTCTATTCCAATGAAAACATGAAGAAAGTAGGAGGTAAGCAATACTATCGCTTTTAAAACAAATTCATGATTCTAGTAACATCTGATCAATATCTCTGAGAGATCTATGCTGTTGGGTCAGCAGTCAGAAGTGATATGAAATGTTACAGAAATCTACGTAATCTGTTATTGTAACTGATATGGCTTTTTCTATTAGAAATACGATATAACAATATCAAAGGTGATAACCTGGAAAGTGAAGAACATACAAAAAAAAAAAAAAAAAATCAGAATTTAGACTTCCCCAATCCTCAGTCTTAGCAACAGCCCGGCTTTAATGTTACTTTTGTGTGTAATTCTTATTTAATCACATGTCAAACTGAAGACTGACATGTATTATACTTTAAAAAGCATGCTTTCAGCTTTCATTTTGACATCTAGTTAGCATACAATAACTGCCTTTCAAAAGCAAAATAAAATGTTTGACAAGCTTTAAATGTTATTTTCAGTTTTATTTGTTATTTCGGTTCTTTCTTACGTTGAGAAGCCAAAAAAAAAAAAATTGTTAAATGTTACTGGAAAACGTATTAGGTAAAAGGAGGATTAGATTCTGAAAGTAAATACACATTGATGTTCTGTCAGAAGTTTGTGAAGTTCCAGGTTTGTAACATTTTCTTCATCAATTATTGGTTTTAATGAGTGTTGAATGGCCTCTCTTCTGCAAGTGGAAGATGAGAGCATTGGTGTAACTCAGTTAAAGCATATGAACAAAATATAGCAGTTATGGAACAAAATGCAATAGTGTATAAAGATTTGAGCTGGAAGTTTCCTTTTGATGAGGAATTTTATTTAAGAACTATAAGAAGTTGTGGTCATAACTGAAGGCAGTTGTCAGATTACTTGAAGTTTTCCATTTTCTACTTTCCTAGCATTTAAAAGATCTAAGTAATAGAGAAAATAAATACTAATAGCAAAAATAGATTCTAATATAAAAACAATTTTTTGAGTACTTGTATATAACTGGCTGCGTATTAGTGGAGAAAAACGTTGAAGTAATCCTTTTGTTTTCCTGCTACCCTAGAACATTTCCTAAAAAAAAATTATATTTTAAATTAGAATTATCATCAAAATAATTAATTCAACATAAACTAAACAGTATTTTTTTCTTTATGATCTCCTTTTAAAAGGATATTAATTTGCTTCAATGAATGAAGATAATAAGGTTAATAGTTTAATGTTCTTCAGTTGATATCTGCTGCTTTTTCTATTACCTTTTTTCAGTTTTTGATTATAAATTGGCTAACCCCTGGTGTATAATTCCAGAAATCATCCCTTTAGAGTATCCAAAGCTATTTACTCATCTTTTATTCTTCCCTCTGCCACAGCCTAATTATTGTAGTGAAAGATTGAACCCATAATAGTTTTGGGGCTTTGATCAGTCTTCATATAAATTTCAATAATGAGAGTAAAAGGTTTGAGGTTTTCTGAGATAATTTGATCCCTCCAGACACAGACTGCTTTTACTAAATGCATTTCATTTTGGGATGCCATATGAGACTTCTGACAGAACTTGTGACTGGGTTCATAACATCCCTGGAACCAGAATTTTGTGCTCAGAACAATAAAGATAATTTAATACTGTTTAATGTACCATACAATTCTGGATACTTTTTCTTATTTTTTTTTTCCTCTTTTTAACTAGTTGGTCAGATAGTATTACAAGTTTCTCAGCATTTTTAAAATGCAGTAAGAATACATAAAGGTTTTGCTCATATTTGTCCCTTTTGGAAAAAAATAGAGAACTGTCATTCAAATAAATAAAATAAACCATAATCCTCATTATTCTATTGCTATTGGTGTTAACTCCCTTTAGAAATAAATAGAAAAGCAGCTGGAGGCTGAGGATATTTTATAATCTTATCAATTGAAATTTTAATGCCTCAAGGAGAAAATTTCCAAAATAAATGTGACAGAAGATAAGTCCCAGCTTTTGGCAAAGTTTTATTAGAATGACCTGTTCCAGATCATTGTCTGATATCAGCATGAATTAAGAGTATAGCAACACTTAGGTAGAGAAACAAATGTTCTTTTCATCTTGATAAATTTTTCAGAAGTGCTCTGCCCTGTCTTCATGTTGTCAGGTGAGACAGAAGCAGGGACACTGTCAAATCGTACGTGGTGAGCTTTTAGCTCATTCTGGTTAATTTTGCATCATCTGCTTTTCATCTTTCTTACAACTGACATCTCAATTTATACAACTAAATATTTACAGTTCTGTAGGTTTTTGTGGTAATTTTAGAGACATTTGGATTTCTCGTAGATATGGTGAACAGCAGATTCATCTAAGGCAAAAGCAACTGTATGATCAGTTTCACATGCAGTGGAACTGATATAATGCAATGGACTTGCATGTATGTAAGGGCAGGTGAAGTTTTGTGTGCAGGGGTAAATCTGTATCATTGCAGGGATCTTTTTCCTGTATCAACTCCACGAAACTTTAGTTTTTTAGTAGGAGGAGATTGCTGGTGTGAACAGGGCTCTGAGAGGCAGTTGCCAGTTAAGAAGTAGAATAGCATGTTATTCTTTTCTTATAAATTGTATGAGTTATAAACTTTCATAAGCTATATATTAATTAGTTATTTCCAAAGAGTTAAATATTATTATTCTGATGACACCAATTTATTTAGAGTGGATTCTGATACTTCTATGGGCCCCGGAGTGATCTTTCCACCCCTTTCCATCCTGTGCGATGAAGAATTGTTCTGTGCTCAGGTTTCCAGATTTCTTGGCTTGATCTGTTCCAGGTTCCCTCAGCTGCCAAATGAGGAAAAATCTAGCACTAGAAATTTGGTAAGTGTACAGAACTGCTTCAGAAAGCAGGACTGGAACATACAGTGTACATGATTGACAGAGAAATCATCTGAAAGAACACAATGCCAGAAAGAATGAATGCAAAGTGCTGATCTACATTGCATTAATCAGTGGTACACAAGAAAGGAGACAATTGGCAAAAGACCATTAGAGATGGAGCTGGATTCTAACCCGAGCCCTCACCCTAACTTAGGACAGAGTTACCAGTTGGCAAGGAAAATGTATTCTTAAAAGACAAAGGCAGTGGAACCTGGTGGAGATGTGAAATAATCCTTCATCTCTTCTATGCGCTTTGAAGAGATCCACTGAATCTCTGTAACAAGTTTTAAGCGGTACACAAGGAATCGTGTGAGTATGTGTGTAAGGGAGAGCAGTAAGAAATATCAGAAAACACAGGACAGACTGAAATAATATGATCTGAAATAGACTAATGTGCCAAATACCAGAAAGATGAGTGGGGATAAGCAGAGCATGATGAATGAGACAGAAGCAGTGATTTATTTTGTAACAGGAAAGAGTCAGATTTGACATTAGAAGAAAACCTATCTATTAGTAATGGTGAAGCACTCAAACCAGTTTTCTGGGAAAGCAATGAATTTCTTATTGGTAACTTCTAAGAACAGTTTTGACTCGCATCTGTCAGGAATTACATAAGTGAAGTTGATCTTGGCTGTGCTGTGCAGCAGCTGTCGTGTGGCATACATAGTATTGCCACAGTGCAAGACATTTTGAAGAAAAAGAGGAATTTTGTAGCAAAAATTTCGTATACTTCATTGCATTCAACTCTGTGACCTACAAGTGACCAAATACCTCAGCGTAGTGTATACTTTTTTTTATCATAGCATGAAAAATACTATCTTCAGCAATTCTGGAATTGGACAGTTTTGCATTCCCTTTCAGATGGAATTTTGATTATTTGTCTTTGAAATAAAGTTTTTATTAAGAGCATTTCAGATTGCTGTTCAGTTATTTTTGTGGTTTTCTTTTTTAATGTTAACATTGCGAGTTTTCAAGATACTCCTAGCGGATTTGGTTATTTTTTGCTTCTGCATTTTCTTTCAATACAGTGGTAGATTTACATTTCAGTAAGAATGAAAATGTCCTGTGCCTGATGCGTTAAGTCTTTTACTCTCCTGGCCCTTCCTTCAAGTCATTATCTGTGCTCCTTCCTCTGTTTCCCAGCTTCCAGTCTTTTACTGTTGTGATGCAGATCTATGGTATAATGGAAATCAAAGGGGTTGTAATGAAATGTCTGAAGCAGAGTAGTGGAATCTGCTTTCAATTCATTAATTCTTTCAATTCATTAATTTAATGGATGTGTAAAATCTATTAAAATTGTTTTCAATACATAAGACATGTTATTGTTTGTTCTTTCTCTGGCTTGGAAGAATACAACAACATTAGTAGTGTGTCACATTTCTTTCCCATTAAAAGCTGCTTCACGCTTTTGGGCCTAAAGAAAATGTTTTCTGAAAACTAGAAAACTGAGCGGTGAAATAAATTGAGCCTCAAAAACTGATTGAAATCTCCAAGTCAATATACAAAAGGCATCCAAAGACTTGTGAAGTCTGACAGAATCTCCTTAGTGTTTGGTGTCTTTCATTTTGCATCAGGGCTTACTTTTTAGAAAAGTAGGAAAAAAAATACAGTGCTGTCAGGTGAAGCAGGCTGCCTGTTCACAAAAGCCTGAAATTGTGCAGAACTGTAGATAATGCGTCTTCAGCAGATAACTGAAATAATACATTTCCTAAATTGGTTGCATTAAGCAATTACTGATACTGTAGCGGAAACCATATAATTTTCTTCCTTCCTCGTAGCCTCAGCGCCGTGTCACGTTTCACCTACCAGATGGCTCCCAGGAAAGCTGCAGTGACAGTGGACTTGGAGACCATGAGCCCAGCAGTGGTGCCAGCACATCGCACCCGCTGCCCCTCGGCTTCCCGCAGGAGGAGTACTATGAGCAAGCATCACCCAACAGCCGGACAGAAGGAGACGGAAACTCAGACCCTGAGTCCAGTAAGTGACAAACTCTGGTCATGTTGGTCATTAAATCACTTGAATAGCAGAAGAGGGCTTCCTTTTAGGCACTGATCAAAACTGAATGTTGATCTGAACATAGCCAGAAAGGCCTGTATTTCTAACAATGCAGAGTAAGTTTGCCCACTTGAAAAGAAACGGTTTTGAGCTGTAAAGAGTTTATAGATTGCCTGGTATTTCTGTAAATCTGAGATGCTGTACACATAGGCACTTTCTGAAGATGTTAACACTGTTGCCTTTGCCGTTGAAAACACTGTTGTGAGAGAGTTTATGCTGTCTTCTATGGTTTCATATCCAACATTTCTGCACACACTAGTTCGCTTCCAGAAGGAAGAACTTCTGGATGGCACTACAGTCTTTAGAAATAAGGGTTTTTTGATTTCTCTTTTGAGAGCGACTGTGGTATGTGGTAGATATCTCAAAGTTCTCTGCCATGTGACTTAATTCAGCTGTTATCACAGGCTTTTTGTGACATGGAAAACAGGAAAAATCAAGGTTTGCAAGAGACTAGTCAGAGACCAGTGTTGCTTTCTCCGACTTGACCTAATAGAAACTCTAGTGCACTTCAGGAAACTGCTAATTATCCAGGGGCTCTTTATCTAGATTAAATTGAACTATGCTGTTGATGAAAAGACACCTGTAAGTATGGAAGCCTCTAAGGCCTTGTTAGAGATCTAGTAAGTGATTTGGAAATACATGTGTTCTGGGCAAAACTTGACCCAAAACGTGTATTACATCTGCTTTATTATATTTTGAAGGATGAATTAGTAAGTCCAGTGAGGTTGAAATAGCTCTGTGAAGTGTATCTCAGCAGTGGCAAACACAACATCCAACAGAGAGCATTACCTCTGACTCAGAGTTGCCTCTGACAAAGTCATCCTGGCTTTTGGAAATCATGCTGCTGTCCTTGTTGTGTGCTACTTGAGACCAGAATCTGAGGGATTTGTCTGCATGAACGATAACCTCTCTGTTTTACTTCTAGTTCAGTAACTATTAATTGCAGATCCTAATGTTAAGACTTTAAAAACTTTGCAAAATTATGATTCCTGAAGTAATGCCAGAATATTTTTTTTCTGAGTTGAGAGGCAACTGACAAGAACAAGCAGAAGTTGTGAAGTTTTTGCTTCTGTTTCTGCTCACATATTTGAGGATGTAATATACCCATAAGAATGTTCTAGTCAGTCAAGCTGTATTTTTCACAAAACGAAAGTCTAAGAGGCTACATATATATCCCAGAAGAAAGCAAGTTTCACATGTGTATTGTTTGATGTCTTTTCTATGCATGCACATGATCTAAACTTCCTTTCCAGCTCCTTCTTCCTTTTATTCTTTGTAACTCTTATTTCTGATATGTAGAACATACATAGAATCAGCATTTGGGTCATCTCATGCATACAGTGGGGTGCGTGGGAATTGTTAGCAGAGGAATGTGGATCCTGTCTGGCTATATAAGAAGAGGCTTGGGTTTTGGATTTGCCAGTGTGTTGCAATTTCAGGAGAAATAGGGTTCACAACTCTTCTAAATCGTTGGCCTAAAACCAATACATCTGAATCTCATTGACACATCACTGTACAGGCACCTGGTATCTCTTCAAGTGTGAAAACTGAAGAAAGTTTAATCACCTGTCTAATTATCTGATAGCTTAGTTTCAGACTTGAAATCACAGTTTAATTAGCATTTCTTTTTCATGAAGATTTTTTTGCCTTTCTAACTTGCATCTTTTTGTATCAATTTAATTGCCACTATATAACATGATGCTTACAGTATGTGAAGTGTAGTTTTTAGTCCTTTTTTTGTGTGTTTCTTGCTTATATTAATGGCAGCAACTAGTGGCAGAAAAACATGGATGTGTAAATGGATATCTCTTATCTGCTTTCATAAATTTAACCAAGAGATAAAAGGAAGACCTGTGACATATTTATATTCTGTACACTACTGAAAGTTGACATACTTTTACAAGGTAAGAGCATTAGCAATATTTTGTGTACCAGTCTGTGAAATTGTTCAGACTGAGGTTTGTTTCAATCATCAATGCATGTGTGGCAAATTTAGTCAGTAGTGGAAAAAATGAAAACAATTCTGACCTGATGTAGAGCTAAGGAGGGAATGGTCAAAAGACAAACTGATGCACCTTCTCTTGTGGTAGCCAAAGCACGTGTATACCTGTTTGGCAAACTGGATAGAAGAATTAGACTGAGTTCAACTTGATTTTGTGCAGAAAAAAATATTTTTTAAGCAGATCAGTTCTTCAGTCACATTTGCTACATGGGGCCTTACATGTGGCCAGCAAACAAGGCTGAATGAAAAGCTGGGACAAAGCTTATCCTGGCTTTAAATCATCAACAAAGTTCAAGAGAATCAGTCTTAATTCTTAACAGTGGAAATCTATGGTTATTTAGCCACATACAAATGAGGTCTGCAGCAGAAATGTATGTTGATTATTAAAGATGACATAGTTTTTTTTTTTCCTCCAAAATACAAGAAGCATTTTACCTTGCTTTAATTTTTGTAGAGGTTGATGAGGTGAGGTGATTTTTGTTGAGGTAAGCGGCTGATGAAGAATTATGATAATGGAACTAAAAGTTCAAAGCAGATTCAGTGCCTTCATGTGGTGGAGAGATTGTATTTCTACCAGGGTGTCAAAACTGATAGTGTTGTACTGATTTTTCTGGAATTCCAAGAGACAATGCTTCAAGAAAAATCTGTGCTCCTGAGCAAGTGGTGACATGATATGGCTTCTTCATTGAAACATGTTTGCAAGAAAGAAATCAAGCTATGCATAAACAGAAGAGACTAAATGGTATCATAAATCTCCCAGTATGGTACTAGATTAGCTCTGTTATCTAATTTCACTTACCCTTTCCATATTGGAACAAATGTAGATTTAATCTATATAGATTTTAGACCTAATAACTATTATTATGACATTAAGGTAGAGCATTAGTAATTAAGGGAAAGACATTAATGCAAGATTTGAAAAATGTTCATTCCTTGTTAATGAAATTGTCATTAAAAGATGGGAACATATCAATGAAATATTCTACTATTTCAAAGCCAGGCATCACTAAAAATTTGGAGAAGGAGGTGTATATGATATAAGAACTGGCTTTTGCTAAGGATTTGGAGTAATAGCAGTGGGATGAAGACTAGTAGTTGAAAGTCTTTCTCATAGGAGCTGGTGTATGTAACTAATGTATAAATCTCCAGCTGAAAATGATAAAAACAACAGGGTATGACAAAGATAAACTATAAATCACTAGTGCCAAATGCACTGTGGGGAAAAAAAAAAAAATCCCAGTTTATTCCTAATACAACAAAAAGAAAGCAAAAGTGAAAAACAAAAAATAAAACCAACCAAGGCAATGATGATACCACAACTGGAGTATAATAAACAGAATTCCTTTCCAAGTTGAATAAAGGAGAACTCACTTGAGAAACAGGTATAAAGAATGATTTAGTAGTAACAAGGGAATGGAATGTCTAGACACAGAAAAAGAAATTAATATTAGTTTGTTTAAACGGCAGAGTAAAATGTGGCTGAGAACCAGGACTGTTCTCAAATAATAGAGAATGGGGAAAGAGAGATTGTGGTGGCAGAATAAAGTACCTGTTGGCTCTATGGACAAATGGCGCTGTCAGTAAGCCAGGATAGGTCAGACATTTTGAGATTTCATATTTGAGAACAGTAAGCAGAGAAACAGAGAAAGAGAACACTAAGTGGATTCAAACAGGAGCTTGATAAATTTATGAGAGGAGCAAACAGAATGCCCTGTGTAACTGCAGCAAATGTATCCTGTTATCCAGGAGGTTCTCTTTGTTCACAGTATAGAAGTTGTCAGCAAATGTTGGCCATCTCAGTTCAGCTCTACTCTGCTTCCAGCTCCTGGCTGCAAACCACAGTGTGCTGCTGGTGACCACACAGGCTGTTTGAGCCAAGCTGGTGGCCCTGTGGGAAGTTAGCCTTCATAATGATGTGCATGATCCAGTAAATCTCCCTGATGTTGTTATGAAGATGGGGCCAGCGCTGCTGCTGGCAGACAGCTGATGATAGGAAGCTTTCTATCCCTGGTGAAAATGGCAGCGTTTTTGGCTATACTGACTTGTCTGATAATCAGAAACACTGAAGTTGCTGAAATATGCTCTTTGAGCATCATGAGTAACTTTGCTCTGGCAGTTGGATTTGGGATCTTGTCCTGAGACACAAGAAAAAAAATAAAATTTCAGCATTTTAAGCATTTTGTTCCCTGCTTAAAAACTGACATAATTTTATTATATTAGTTGGGGGGGGGTTGTTGCTTTCATGTGCTTTTCATTTCACAGTAAGGATGAAATCTAAGAGTATTTTAATTCCATCACTGCTAAACTGTAAACTCACTGTAGCACTTAACTGTAATTTGAGAAAAATAGTAAGACACTGTCAGTAAGACACTGTCATTAGTTAAGGATAATAAATTCTGGGCTAAAATAGATCCCAGTGTAGTAAATCTGCCCGCTGGGTGCCTCTACTTATGCTATATTGGGTTTTCCTATCCCTGTGGCTGTGTACTAATAATTAATTCTGAAAGTGCTGAGGTAATTAATCATTCTGAGGCAACAGAGTTTGATCCTCTACCTTTAATCAAATTAGCTTGTATGTAGATGGGAGTATGTAGTGGCTGACTAATTCTCTGCACCACTCTTTTGAAATGCCTACCTTTCTGATGACCTCCTGAGAGCACCACCATGAATCAGGTGCATGTCAGCCAATTGGGTGGTCATCTGGCGAGCATTTGATTTAAAAGATGGGAAATGAGCAGAGATCAAAATCAGGATGTACTCAGCATTTACATTTTAAAGTGAAGTGCACCTTCATATAATTTTGGCATATCTTTGAAGGTACTAAATGTCTGAGGCTGACAACTGTGTATATTTTCCAGATGTTTTGGCAGTTTGTTCATAAAATCTCTATCTAATCATAATCACATATAATGAAGTAAGCCAACACCTGATCACATGTGGTGTTTGCCAGGGTTTGCTATTAGAACCTGTCTCAT